TTGATTAGGGTTTCTGGACCAAAGCTCAACAAATAAGAATGAGAGGCTTCGAACCCAGAGATATACCTAACAAGAACTAACTGCATTTGTCTAGGTTGTTGAAAGTCTAATCAAAGGAGAAAGAGAGATATTCTACATGTGATTTCATTGGTATAGGGAACTCCAGGGTAAGGAACCTCCCTCTACAAATGCAGGTCAATCTGCAATTTAGAGTCTTGGAGAATTGCTTAGAGCCTATGCTCTATTTAAGTGACATAACGATATGTATCAGAGGCAAAATTTCAACCTGGGTCTGCTTGGCTTTGAGGCCAGTTCTCTGTCCACTATGCCATATTGCCTCTTTTAAGGCTAATTGAAAGGGCATTAAACTGAAAAGGAAGGGAGAAATAAAAACTAGTCTACATCCACCAATCTAGATACTGTAGAAAATAGCTACAAGATAGGAAGAAAAGTGGCAGTCAAAATACCGAGAAATTCAGAAGTCAAAATCCAAGAAAAAATTCAGTCATAACAGCCACAGCTCATATTGTTTATTACAATAAGCTCCAAATGGTTACATGACTTAGAATATGACAGGTTTTGTTGTAAACAAGAGGAGAAAAGAGGAAGGAAAGATGTACCTTTCCAAACTATGAATAGGAGACAGATTCTTAATTAAATAAGGATTAGATATGACCATAAAAGATTAAAAATGGACAATTTTTGTTGCTTAAAATTGAGAACTTGCACAAAAAAAGCAATGTCCAGATTGTGCAAGTTAGAATTGTTAAGGAAACAGTTTTTACTGGGTGGAATCTTTGGAGCAAATTTCTCAGATAAAAGTGCTCTTGGTTTATTTTGTTTGACTATACTTACTGCTTACAGGAGAGGGCTTTGGTAGTAGATAGGGAAGCAGGTGATGGGCAGTGACACAAAAATGTAAGAAAAGAAAGAAAATTCCATCAATGAAACATTAAAAACAAACATATAAGAGGGGAAATAGAGGGTAATAATAGGGATTATAGACAAGAAGGGCAGTTTTGTTGTTAACTGTGTTACATTTAATATATGCTTGGAAAACTTTATATGTATAACAGTTCACAGTTTCGTACACTACTCTCTTTTTTATTCTTTGTATATTGAAATATTCACATTCCTTGTTGGTTTGCTAAATTCACAATTTAACATTAAGAATCTAGGGTTGAAGCAATAGGGCTGGGGCATGGCACTCTCTCTTTTTTGCACTAAGGGGCCCCTCTCACCTCTGGACATATGCATATGGTCCAAACAGCATCACCCTTGAAGAGCGTGGCCTTTAATGGGAGAAGTTAGAACCCCATTTCTCATACTCTTTGGCTCATTTTGCCCCTCACTCTAGCACTTAACATTTTAGTTTTGGCTCACTAGATCAACCAGGCTTATCCAGATTCATCACATCTAAGGTCTCCCTAAAAGTGGAAGTAGGAATCAGGAATGGGACAGTTATTTATTTCCTATACACAAAAGATTGTCATGTGGAAACTTAGACTGATCCCAGAGAGTAGAGGTAGGAAACACTCACTAATGATCAAGTTACCAAAAATGGACTAATGGACTGTCTTGGGAGATAAGGGCTTCTACTTATTGAAAGTCTTCCTGGCAAAAGCTGGCTAACCACTTTTCAAGTATGTTGTTGAGGGAACTCATTTTTAGGTAAGGTTGTGGCCTGTCAGTTAGGGTCCTTTCAGTTATGAAATTCAGTCTCTGTGATTCTCTTCTAATCTGCCAGTACCTACTGGGAACAGTGAAAAGAAGAGCTGGGGGGCGGAGCCAAGATGGCGGAGTGAAAGCAGTGACTGGCTTGAGCTCTCCCCCAAATACCTCCAAATACTCATAAAAAATGGCTCTAAACACATTCTGAAGCAGCAGAACCCACAAAAGGACAGAGTGAAACAAATTTCCAGCCCAAGACAACCTGGATGATTGATAAGAAAGGTATATCATGCAAGGCTGCGAGAGGAGCACAGTGTGGCATGGGCACACAGGCCGCAGCAATGCCTCAGAGGACTGAATCGCGGGCAGCTGCGGAGGTTTCCAGACTCCTCAATCCACAAATGCCAAAGACAACTTAGAAGGTCAGTGAGAAAAGTCTGTTTTTGAGGTGCTGAGAGAGGAATGCAGGGTCTCAACTTCCTTCCCCAAGAGCATGACCCTAGTGGGGGGGAAGGGGGAGAGAGGACAGCTGCCTCCTGAGCTTCTGGCCCATAGACTGAGGGGGAATCCAGTGGCTGATCAGAGAGGGATTGCAGGGATCTCTTTGCCAGTGCTGAGGCAGGAATCTCTCACTTTGCCCATGTTTCGATCTGGGTCACAGTTCTGGGTGGCGGTCCTGGGGTGAGGAGGAGCGCTGGTGTGGTGGAGCTTGTAGTGGCTGTGGAGAGGAACCCCTCCTCACAATTACAGGTCCCTACAAGTATCTCTGAAATCAGCTGTACAAACCCCCAAAGCTTGGGACAGTACATTCTCCACATTGGAAGCAGACTCATACCTTAACAAAGTTTACAACTCAAGTAATTGGCCAAGATCATGAGCAAGCAGCGCAAAAAGAATTAGACTATGTTGTCTTACTTTGGTGAAAAAGAAGATCAAAATATACAACCAGAAGAAGACAACAAAATCAAAGCTCCTACATCCAAAGCCTCCAAGAAAAGTATGAATCAGTCCCGGGCCTTGGAAGAGCTCAAAAGGGATTTTGAGGAGCAAGTAAGGGAAGTAGAGGAAAAACTGGGAAGAGAAATGAGACTGACGCAAGAAAATCATGAAAAACAAGTCAACAGCTTGCTAAAGGAGACCCAATAAAATACTGAAGAAAATAACACCTTAAAAAATAGCCTAACCCAAATGGCAAAAGAGGGCCAAAAAGCCAATGAGGAGAAAAATGCCCTAAAAAGAAAAATTGGACAAATGGAGAAGGAAGTCCAAAAGATTACTGAAGAAAATACTTCCTTAAAAATTAGAATAGAGCAATTGGAAGCTAATGACTTTATGAGAAATCAAGACACTGTAAAACAAATCCAAAAGAATGAAAAATTGAAAACAATATGAAATATCTCATTGGAAAAACAACTGACATGGAAAATAGATCCAGGAGAGACCATTTAAAAATTATTGGACTATCTGAAAGCCATGATCAAAAAAAGAGCCTAGACATCATCTTTCAAGAAATTATCAAGGATAACTGCCCTCATATAGTAGAACCAGAGGGCAAAATAGAAATTGAAAGAATCCATCCATCTCCTCCTGAAAGAGATCCCCAAAGGAAAACTCCTAGGAAAATTATAGCCAAATTTCAGAGTTCCCAGGTCAAGGAGAAAATATTACAAGGTGCCAGAAAGAAACAATTCAAGTACTGTGGAAACACAATCAGGATAACACAAGATTTAGCAGCATCTACATTGAAGGACCGCAGGGCATGGAATATAATATTCTGGAGGGCAAAAGACATAGGATTACAACCAAGAATCACCTACCCAGCAAAACTGAGTATAATCCTTCGGGGAAAAATGGTCATTCAGTGAAATAGAGGACCTTCAAGCATTCTTGATGAAAAGACCAGAGCTGAATAGAAAATTTGACTTTCAAGTATAAGACTCAAGTGGAACATGAAGAGGTAAACAGGAAAGAGAAATCATAAGGACTTATTAAGATTGGACTGTTTACATTCCTGCATGGAAAGATGATATTTATAACTCATGAGACTCTTGTCAGTATTAGGGTAGTTGGAAGAAAAAAAATTATATGTATGTATAGATAGATAGATAGATAGATAGATAGATAGATAGAGGGCACAGAGTGAGTTGAAGATTAAGGTGTCATATCTGGAGAATAAAATTAAGGATGAGGGAGGATTATACTCAGAGAAGAAGAAAGGGAGAGGTAGAATGGGGTAAATTATATCACACAAAAAAAAACAGAAAAGTCTCTTACAGTGGAGGGGAAATGGGGGAAGATGAGAGGGAATGAGTGAATCTTCTCATAGGATTTGGCTAACGGAGGGAATAACATACACATTCAATTGGGTATGGAAATCTGTCTTACCCTATAGGAAAATAGGGGATGAAGGGGACAAGAGAGCAGGGGGATGATTGAAAGGAGGGCAGATTGGGAAAGGGGGTAATCAGAAGCAAATACTTCTGAGGAGGGACAGGGTCAAAAGAAAGAATAGAATAAATGGGAGGGCAGGACAGGATTAAGGGAAACAGAGTTAGTTTTTCACAACATGTCTACTATGGAAATGTTTTGCATAACTGCACATGTATAACCTATATTGAGTTGCTTGCCTTTTCAGTAAGGGTGGGTGGGGAGGGAGGAAGGGAGAAAATTTGAAACCTAAAGTTTTAAAAACATATGTTTAAAAAAATGTTTTCACATGCTACTAGGAAATAAGAAATACAGGAAATGGAGTACAGAAGTCTATCCTGCCCTACAGGAAAATAGAAGGGGAAGGGGATAAGAGAAGGGGGGAGAGATAGAAGAGAGAACAGACTAGGGGAAGGGATATTCAGAATGCATGCCATCTTGGGGTGGGGGGAGGGGTGAGATGGGGTGAAAATTTGGAACACAAAATCTTGTGGAAGTGAATGTTGAAAACTAAAAATAAATAAATTTATATTTAAAAAAAGAAAAAAAAGAAAATAAGAGGTGGATATTTGGTTCAGTTGTTTATTAATCTGAGGAAGCAGGACAAGGACAGAGCTCTACCTTGTAAACAGAATTGATTCTTTATATCCTGTGAAATCCAACCTCTTTATTCTTGGGTTAAACTAGAGAACACTCTGCCCTGTTATCTCTTTCCTGTTGGATGCCAGGCAAGTTTCTGATCAGAAATACGGCCTATGGAACTTGGGTCAAAGATCTGTATGTTTAACTTGGTTCCAGGAAGGGGACTTTCCAACAGATTCTCAGGCAAAGTTTCTATCTGTAACTAGAGTTACGGTCAAAGATCTTTCCATTTTGAGGTTCCTCATCTCCTTTTAGGTTCTTTGGTTCCTTTGGAAGTATGGCACTCTTTAGAAACAGGCCAGATCTGGTGCAGGGAAAAGAAAAAGGGACATGGAATTATCCTGGTCTCCTGCTGAAGAGTTGCCTATGGACTCCTGGAAAGGAAAAACAAGATTTAGAAAAATTTTCCAGGTCTAAGCCATTGGTAGGAATGAAGAAAGAAGGAAAAATGAAGGAAGGGAGGGAGGAAAGGAGAAAGGCAAGAAGAAAGGAAGGAAAGGAGTGACAGAGGAAGGGAAGGAGGAAGGAAAGAACAAAGGAAGGAAAAAAGGAAAGAAGGAAGGGAGGGAGGGAAGAAAATGAAGAAAGAAAGGATGAAAAATGAGAAGAAAGGAAGGGGAAAGAAGGAAGGAAGGAAGATAAAAGAAGGAAGAGAAGGGAAGGAAGGAAGAAATAGAGGAAGGGAGAGAAAGCAAAAATATAATTAAAAATTGTGGCCACCACAGCCCCCTAGTCAAATCTCCATTAATTTTTTTTTCTTATGAGAGCATGTCAAAACTGTCATGTATGCATCAAAATTTCACTCTTGGATGACAAGGCTAGGATCTGAATGAATTCTTTCAGTCACTGAGCAGCAGCTGATGAACGTCTTTACAAGGTTCAAAAATTGATTACAGAGATGTACAACATAAGACTGCACATAGTTGTATTGATTTTAAATAAGAAAGATATCAATATTTTAAATCAATTAAGCTAACAAAATTTTTTGTATGTTTATGGCATTTGTATTTCTGAAGTAATTAAATCTTACAACTGCACTAAGACTTTTGGACACCCAGTATATCCAGTCCTGTGTTAGGGACTATAGAGAATCCTAGGAAATGGAAGGCATGCAGAAGAAGGCAGCCAGACTAGCCTGGGCAGTGAGGGTAATGAGTATACAGTATGTGAGTTGGAAAGACAAGAGATGTGTCTGTCTTTAGTGGAGAGTTCTCATTAGGACAGAGTGGGAAAGAAGCCAGTATAAGAAGGGTGGGGAATAACTTGTATAATAATTCATTTTGTAGACACCGGGGAGTCAATAAAATAACAATCAAGAGACTGAGAGGATCCAAAGCAGTGAAACTGGCAGTGGTCTTTGCAGGCTGGTTTGGAGGGAAAAGACAGCTGGTGGCAGCACCACCAGGAGGAGACAATAGTGACGAGGCAAATAGTGAGGCTGGCTGAAGACCTCTGCCATTTATCTTTCTAAAACAACTGATCTCAACTTTCTCCCCATCCAAGGTCTGCAGGATGGCTGTTTTTTCCTGGTTCCCACTCCTCCTCATCATCATGGTAAGGACTGACTGCTCAGAGCCAGTTTTGAGTGAGAGGACTGAGCAGCCCTTCTGCTTCCTGGTCTCTTGTGGTACCCCTGGGGCAAATGGGGCTCCTGGAAAAGATGGAAGAGATGAGCTCAAGGGAGAAAAGGGACAACCAGGTACAGACCAGTTGGGATCCTTCTCCGTGGGTCTTCATTACTACAGGTGTTCCTACATGATGACTGCCTCTTCCAGGAGTTCAGACTCAACACATGAGGTCACATTTATCAACGATGTTGAATTGTTTCTCTAGATACAATCTCTGTCCAAAAACCTTTTCTATAAACAAGGGAGTGAAATGATCAAGGCTTTTCTATTGATCCCACTGCGGTAATCTGGCTCCTCCAGTTTCCACATAGTCAAAGGAAGAATTAAGTTGGTGCCTTACCAAAATAGGCAGTGTATGGGGCCATTTTCAAAGGCAATCTTTTGAGAATCTCTCAAACCACTCATCTTTGGTGAAACCTGTGGGATACTGCTTGCTTAGTAAGACTTAAAATAAACACTGATTACTGGGAAGAAAGTCTGGGAACTCTTTCATGAGGTCACCGGTTTGTTTTATACCCTCATAAGGTGTCCACATGGAGTTCACAGGGAAATATTTTTTCCTCATTTTATTCCATTTTGTAGAGAAGTAGATGGCTATGAGTTCAGAGTAGTGCATACCCATCTGAATGGTGGTTTTGTTTCTAGAGGTATATCAATTAATTGGGAAAATATACAATAATTACATTTCTTGGCATATAAGTTTTAAGACTTTTATGTCTTTCAAAAAATTTCAATATGCAATATGTCCTCCATTTCTTGTGATCCTTTGTTATATGTAATTTAGGGAAATGAAGAACATATACTCTGACCTGGAAAAAGAAAACCAAGAAAATATATTTCCATTATCAACAGTTTTGTTAACTTAAGTAGATTTGTGAGCAATATACATTCATGGGATGTTTCAACAAGAGTTGCCTTGAGCCTTACCATCCATTCCTAACAGCTAATCTCACACTTAACCTTATGTAAGAGCATAGAATACAATTTCAGAATGATAGAGCATTCTGAGAAATCTTAGATCTTATCTCCTTCAAGTCACTCATTTGGTAAATAGGAAAACTGAGGACCCTTGTATCACTGGGTCAGATCATGTCAAGTGCCTGCTCCATAAATTTTTGTGGCTCCCTATTGCCTCTAGGATCAAATACAAAATCCTTTCATTGGTATTCAAAGCCCTTTATAACCTACCCCTCTCCTATTTTTCCAGTTTTTTTTTTTTACCCATTACACCCTGTCATGTGCTCTTTGATCCAGTGACATTGGCCTCCTTGCTGTTACATGAACAAGACACTCCATATCTCAGCTCCAGGAAAATTCTCTGGCTGTCTCCCATCCCTGGAATGCTCTCCCTCCTCATCTCTGCCTCCTGGCCTCCTTCAAGTCACATCTAAAATCACACTTGTCATAGGAAGCTTTCTTTTCCTTTCCTTTCCCTTGATTCTAGAGCAGGATTCCCTCTGTTATTTCTAGTCAGTCTTGCATATGTTTGGATGTATTTGCTTGCTGGCCTCTCCCCCACTAAACTGTGAATTTCTCGAGAGCAGGGACTGTCTCTTGCCTCTTTTCGTATCCCTAGTACTTAGCATAGTGCCCATTACATTGTAGGCATTTAATAAATGTTTATTGACTCACTGACTGACTGAAAGCTGAACCAATAAAGTGAATTGCCCATGGTCATATAGTTAGTGGCAAAACCACAAGAACTCAGGTCTGTTCCATGTCAAATTCCCCACTTTCCAAGCATTGTCACAATTTTGGTCAAAATTCATTTTCCCTTCCTGTTCTGTGTCTTAATCCATAACTGACTGTCCCAGCAGACTCCCAGCACCTTCCCACCCCATTTTTCCCCTTCCCCTTTAGTTCTTCCAGGCAGTTGCTCTAAAGGGCCTTGCCAAATACCAGTGGGATTCCAAGCACTTCTGCCTCACATATTATACTTCACCAAAAGTTAGAAAGAAAATCATTATTACTTGTCTATGGAGTCAGAAGACTAATGGAGCTTAAATTGCTCATTGGGTGTTTTTTTTTTTTTAACCAAACAGAGCATGGCATATGGTCAGTTAACAGGCATTCATTAAGCTCTTATTATGTGATAGGCCCTGTACAAAGCTCCGGAGATTCAAAGAAAGGCAAAAACAGTCCCTTCCTCAAGTAGTAGACATTTTAATGGGTGAAGCACCATGTAAATAAGTACATTTAAGATATTTACAGAGTAGATGAAAGTAATCTGAAAAAAGAAGACATTAGAAGGTGGCACGTTGAGATTGGGGTTGCCCCCCCAACAGGAGATGTGATTTGAGCTGCATCTTAAAGGAAGTCAAGGAAGCCATGAGTCAGAGGTGAGGGGGAAGAGCATTCCAGGTGTCTCTGTACCTTTTCTAAGGGAGAGTTTGGAGTGTGACATTCAAGGAACAGAAAGTAGGCTAATACGGCTGGATGACAGAGTAGAATGGAGGGGTAGTAATCAGTAATAGCCCACTTTTATGGAGACTTTACGAAATGTCTTCTTTCTAACATTCCTGTGAAGTCATTCCGTCCAAGATATTTTCATAGCTATAGAGCTGCAAAGAACCTTAGAGACCAACCAAACTCCATTATTTTACAGTTGAGGAAACTGAGGCCCAGAGAGGGTGCCTCCAGGTGATTAGTCAGTGACTATTGGCTCTATCCCCTGTGCTTGGCACAGTGATTAAGAAAAGCTTTTTCCATCCATCCATTCAATGAGCAATACCATACACTTCCACTAAGCACCAAATAACGGCTCTAGGGGCTAAAGGCAATAGGAAGGAGATACAGCCACAGTTTGGGATGGTCAGAGAAGGTTTCATAGAGAAAGTAGGACTTGCATTGATTTTTAATGCAGGAACAGATCACAGATAGAACGAAGAACAGAGAACAGTGTTTTCTCATGATGCCAACAAACATAAAGGACCCTAAAGCTTATTGTCATCACAGAGGTGAAGGCTAGCCCACTTCTTCCCCACAAGAGAGGCCATATGGTATGATGGAAAAAGCACTAGATTTGGCAGCAGAGGACTTTACAAATCTTGACTCTATCATTTACTGTCTGTGTCACCCTGAGCAAATGACTTAACCTCTTTAAGTATCAATTACTCCATCTATAAACTGTGGGGTTTGGACTAGATGACCCCAGATGTCCCTTCCTACTCCAAGGCTATGTATGATTCAATGATCCATGCCTTCCTGTGCCTGGAAGTCCTAGGCACACAAGAGCCTGGAAAGGCATAATATGACCTCTACATGGACACCAAACCAGACAGGTAGGAATAGGTAGGGACAGGGGTTCCAAATGAAGTTGATGAGAAAAAAATGTTCTAATTCAATCCAGTGTTCTGCTTTTTGGAATAGCCCTAACAAATTTTGATGATGGAAGAGGCTTTACTTAGAGTTCACTCTGCGAGAATCCTATATGTTCTGGGGCACACTTTACCTATAAACTCAGGTAGCAGCTACTTGTGTGGTGTGATTTGAGAAGCACTAGAAAAAGGCTCTTATATCCCCAAATACCTCCTATATCAACCTATCACAGTGCTTGAACTTCCCCCATTGGAAAGCAAAATCTTTGGCTTGGAGCATTGATCTCTTTTACCTATACATTTACTGTCATTTTCTGCATGGGTTAGTTTTGCTGAGGTATTTTCCCTTTCTTTCTTTTTTTTAATCTTTGCTATAAGAGATGGTTCACTAAGTGGGAGATTTTAAAATATTTGAAAATGAAGGCGACATAAGAACAAAACATGCCAATAAAAATAAAAATGCACATTCCCTTTGGAGGTATTAATTATGAATTCTTCAGTGTGTTTATGCTTCACACCGAAGAATTCATAATTAATCATTAAATCTCTTTCATAGGTTTCATAGGGGAGATCCAAAGGAATGTATTGGCTTTAGATTGGGGGAGAAGTAAAAGAAAGAAATAGAGTACTAGAAGGCCAATTCTGTCAGCTTCAGGAGAAGGGCCATCCACCAGGCTAGGGTCCACACTTTCTTTTTTTTTAATTTTTAATTTATCTTCAGTTTTAAATAATATTTTATTTTTTTCCCAAATACAGGTCAAAAAAATTTTCAGCATTCATTTTTACATGATTTACATGATTTTACATGATTTCCAAATTTTTCTCCCTCCCTGTCTCCCTCCCTCCCCTTCCCTCTTCTGAAAAAGTGTGCCCCAGAATGTATAGGATTCTCGCAGAGTGAACTCTAAGTAAAGCCTCTTCCATCATCAAAATTTGTTAGGGCTATTCCAAAAAGCAGAACACTGGATTGAATTAGAACATTTTTTTCTCATCAACTTCTTTTGGAACCCCTGTCCCTACCTATTCCTACCTGTCTGGTTTGGTGTCCATGTAGAGGTCATATTATGCCTTTCCAGGCTCTTGTGTGCCTAGGACTTCCAGGCACAGGAAGGCATGGATCATTGAATCATAGGACCATAGCCTTGGAGCAGGAAGGACATCTGGGGTCATCTAGTAGGTCATCTAGGTAGGCAATTGGATATAGGTTATACATGTGCTATCATATAAAACATTTCTTTATTAGTCACAGTTGTGAAAGAAGAAACAGACCAAAGGAAAAAAAAACATGAAAAAGAATAAAATAAGTAAAAAAAAGATTCCATCTGTATTAAGAGTCCATCAGTTCTTTTTCTGGATGTGGACAGCATTTTTCTCTGAGTCCTTTGTACTTGTGATCATTTGATCATTGTGTTGATGAGAAGAGCTGAGTTATTCATAGTTGATCATCACAGGATGTTGTTGATACCATGCACAGTGTTTTCCTGGTTCTAATCATTTCACTTTGTCATCAGTTTGTAAAAGTCTGTCCAGGTTTTTTCCTGAAATCTGCCTGTTCATCATTTCTTATAGCGCAATAGTATTCCACTACATTCATATACCATAGCTTGTTCAGCCATCCCCCAACTGATGGACATTCCCTCAATTTCTGTCCCCAGAACAGCTGATATGAGGGTCTGCATCAGAAGTCCAGGACAAATTGGACATGCTGAAGAAAAGCAGCCTCTGGGACTCTGCAAGCAGCCCAGCAGAAAGCAATGCCATTGGGCTCAAGAGAAACATTATTAGGGCTCCACAAAGGGGAGAAAGGAACTTTCAATGAAATGACTTCCAGGAGCTGTGATTTTTTGCCACATATATTACACCAAGCTTGAGTTCACTTTCTTCTGGACTCTCTATGTACTTGTGGGAATGCATTTCTTCTATTTGGGCAGCTAGGTGGCATAGTGGAATGAGCACAGGGCCTGAAGTCAAAAAGATTCATCTTCCTGAGTTCAAATCTGGCCTCAGACACTTACTAGCTGTGGGACCCTTGGCAAGTCATTTAACCCTGTTGTCCTCTGTTTCCTCATCTGTAAAATAAGCTGGAGAAGGAAATGGCAAACCACTCCTGTATGTTTATCAAGAAAGCCCCAAATGAAGTCACAAAGAGTCAGACATGACTGAAAAGACTGAACAGTAAAAATGCCTTCAGTGTGGTGTACCAGTTTGTACCGTAACATTATTATGTATGTTCTCACTATGTGTTTAGTATCATTACTAAACACTGGTTGCTAATTAAGTCAGGCTGACTAATTGATATCAACTGATAATCAATGGAGGAAGTGCATTGGCAAGGCCTCATGAGCTATGGCATCAGAAGACCCCTCAGAGTCCCCTACAAAGCCTGAGAGGAAAAGTAGTAGCCATCCTCTGAGGACCACTTGAACAAGACCCTCCATCTTCTGACTGAGCATTTTCACTGGCTCTCCCCCATGCCTAGAATGCTCTTCCTTCTCATCTCTACCTCCTAGCTTCCCTCAAGTACCAGCTAAAGTCTCATCTTCTGCAAGAAGCTTTTCCCAGTCCCTCTTAATTTCAGCATCTTCCCTCTGTTGACTATTTCTTATTTAACCTGCAACCACAGGTATATGTACATAGTGGTTTGCAAGGTTTCTCCCCTCATTAAACTTGGAGCTCTTTGAGAGCAGGGAATGTCTTTTACCTTTCTTTGTAGCAAAGTGCATGGCACAGAGTAGGTGCTTAAAAAATGTTTGTTGATTGACTGACCTGGTTTGCCAATGCAGTGGAGCCCCAGAGTACACCCTATATTTATAATAATCCTAGGAGGGAGACATTATTATCTATATTTTATGATAATAGCAATAAAATAATTAACATTTATATAGTACTTTAAGATTTGCAAAACCCTTTACATGTGTTATCTCATTTGAACCTCACAATGCCCCTCTGAAGTAGGTGCTATTATTATCTCAGTTTTACAGATGAGGAAACTGAGGTTAAATGGCTTAAATGCAAGAGGTTAAATGACTTGCCCAGGGTCACACAGTAGACATCAAAGGTAGGATTTGAATCTCGCTGGTTTTGGCCTCCCTGTCCAACACTTTTCCCACCATACTAGGTTGCCAAGGAAAGGGGAATATTTAATAGTAGAAAGGAGAGATAGCATTTGAAACTGAGAAACTGAGGAGGTACTGAGCTAGTTTGCTATTTTATAGAATCCCCACAGGGTATAAGTGCTGCAGAAATGCTGTGTATGGAAGTAGATATAAAGAAAGATGTGATTAGAATGGAAGATCACCATTAAGTGATCATCATTAGGCATTACTCCACTGTCTCACATACATAGAAAAGAAAAGACAGGACCTCTGACTTCATATGGTATTTATAAGACCAACCAATTTAAATCTGGAAAGAACCTCAGAGATCATTTCCAACACTCCATTCTAGAAATGAGGAAACTGAACCTCAGAGAGGTGGTAAATGTACCCAGAGGATACATACAAGGTAGCAGAGAGAGGATTTCAACCTCTGACTCCAAATCTAGTACTATTTCTATTGTATCACATCTGTACAACTCACCTGACACATATTTTCATTGTTAGTTATCTTCTTCTATCTCTTACTTCCTCAAATAGATCCCTGGAGGGTAGCTTCCATGCCTTCTCCCTTTCTTAGAAGTTCCATGGAGTTCCTATTCTACTACAGTAGTCTCTCTTTTAAAGAAGAGAATAGGAGCTCAGAGAATATTGGAGAAAGAATGAAAGAGAGAAAGGAGGAAAAGAAAAAAAGGAAATTCTCTTGATGTGGCTTGTCAATAAAAAGTTTCAAGAAGAAGGGGCAGAAAAGTGTTAGGCACAGGGGACATGCAAAGATAATATTTATTCTACCCGATAAATTGCCATCTTTCCCACAATTCCTAGTAAACAGAGAGGTGGGTACTAAGTTCAGCTGTGGATTGAATACAAGGCCAGGAGTCTGATCCTAATCAGATTGACCTTGGCAGAGGTGCCTCAGCATGTCCTGCTAAATCCAGTCATCCTTTGGAATCATAGAGAGGTAGGAAACAGAGCAGGAGTTCTTCACCTGGGGTTTATGGATCAAATTTCAGAGTGTTTGTGAACTTAGAGGGGGAAATTACATCTTTGTTTTCAGTAATCCTATCTGAAATTTAGCATTTCTTTCAATTCTTTAAAAACATCATTCTGAGAAGGCTCCATCAGCTTCAGCCAACTGCCTAAAGGGTCCATGACACAACAAAAGATCAAGGTGCCCTAGGGCAGAAGATAGGCTCTCTTGCTGTCTTTTCCTTTCTGTTTAAATCTTGTTCAAATGGAAGGTTGACCTGGCTCCTTAACTGGGATCAGAATGAGGGAGTCCCAAGAATCTTCTCTTCTCTCCTCTAGGTAGATCTCTCTGTGACAGGTAATTCTCATCCAGGAGCCTTTCTTGACCTTTCCTAATCATGCCTCCATTTGGAAGATGAGATTAGTTCTGTCCTGGCAAAGGGGAAGTGACATTCAAATCATTTTGACCAAGTCATTGGAGATGATTCTCCTTGACATTTCCCAGGTCTGGGGTTTTAATGATGGCTCTGCGGCACCTGCTCAGTCTCTTGCTCCTAGAGTGGGCATTGGTTGGATCCTCCTCAGCTTCACTGGAAAATGAAGAGCAGCCAACGATGTACTCACCCCCTCATTGTAATGGTCCTTTTATTGCTGCACTGCCTGGGAGAGATGGACGAGATGGGAGAGAGGGACCCAAGGGAGAAAAGGGAGACCCAGGTATGTATAAAGCAACAATTCCTAAGAGCAAAAGTGTAAGATCGTAGTGTTAGTCACTGAAAGGATCTTATGGAACATATCTCCAACCTTCTCAGTTTATATATAAGAAAACTGAAGCCCAAAGGAGGGCAGTGATTTTTGCAAAACACACTTAGTAGAACCAGAACTAGAACCCAGGCTTCCAGACTCCTTTGTTAAATGCCTTTCCCATCACATCATGTTGTATCTTTACAACATATTTTCCCTGAAGAACTTTTAATACAAGGTCTCAGTCTTTCCAGGAAACCTATTGACTTATTGTTGTTCAGTCATGTCCTACTCTTAGTGACCCCATTTGGGGTTTTCTTGTCAAAAATACAGGAATGGTTCACCATTTTCTTCTCCAGTTCATTTTACAGATGAGGAAGTTGAGGTAAATAGGGTTAAGTGACTTGCACAGGGTCACACAGCTAGTAAGTGTCTGAGACTGGATTTGAACTCAGGAAAATGAGTCTTCCTGACTCCAGGCCAGGTACTCTATCCACTGGGCCACTTAGCTGCTCTCTGGATTTCTGGGACTTAATGATTCTTGTGACATATTCTCCCAATAGTAGGTGGCTCAGTGGTCAAGGTTTCAATGATCTTTTCTGGAATCTTCCAATATTTCTCTTTTAAAGAAGCCTTATGAAACACTCCATTGGATGTTAAGGTTAATAGGCTTCTCAGGGACTCCATTTTATGGAATCACTGGATTCCCGCGCCCTTAGAAGGACCCTAAGCAGCAAGATCGAGATGAACGCAAGATCAAATGTTGAAGTGTAGTGGGTTTTTTTTTCCCTCACATTCACTAAAGGAAAAAATAAATACACAAACCAAATTTATATTTTAGTTTTCATAGGTGAAGGGCTATATAATGTATGTATATATACATGTATATATATATATATATATATATAATTTATATGATAAAATAATTCATATTAAATAGGTGAAGGGCTCAGGGGCCTCCAAGGAGATCCAGGGAGTTTGGGGCCTCCTGGACACCCAGGGCCACAAGGACCTCCAGGAATCAAGGGCATGAAAGGAGAACCAGGTGGTAAGAAGTTCTATGCCTTCTATCTTAATGAGGGGGGGGGAGGTGGTGAAGGGGCTATTCGTAGACCAAAGGGAGGTTGGAGAGAAAATGGGAAGTAGTTCTCAAGTTTTCAGACCACTCTAATGGAGTAACCTTATAAGCTAAGCACAGGGAAGACAGAATTGTCTCAAAACGAATACATTTCCCTTGAAATGGGGTGGGGGAGCTGCTGAATGCCACATGTCTTTTAATGTTGGTTCAGCCAAGGTAGCCAGTAAGCCCCCTGCCAAAGTACATTCTGGTGCAATTGTTCTACCTCTGACCCCCCAGGAGCCGCCAGCTGCTGCCCAGAAGTGCCCTCAGGGAAATCAGGTCCAACCCCATCCCCCTCCACATTCCCACTTTTGGACTTGAAACATTGATTGTTCTTTCTCTCACCAGGTTCAAAACAAAAGGAAATAAGTCTGTAGTAGGAATAATCTTAAATATATTAAGGCACTGCAGGAAGTCTCTCTAATTGGTTTATCCTTACCAAGCATGCAATGCAGGGGCGGGGAAGTATTTCCATGCCTTCACAGACAAAGATCTTATAGTAGATGACCATCTTTTCTTTTATTTTTTTTTAAAATAGCAGCTGAATATTACAAGGAAAATGAAAAGGAAAGAGGTAGATAAATAAGGCTTTCAAAATGCCAGGTGCTTTGACTGGCAACTGGGAAGGGGCAAAAAATATTTCTTTTCCCTGCCCCCCACCCTGCCATGCACATGGCATCTGGGGAAAGTGGGAAAGTGAATGAATGATAAAGCAGTAAAATAGCAAATGGATCCTCACTGCAGGGAAGGAAGGGTTAGAAAGTTTCTGGCAGGCTATATTTCTGGGAAAGAGGGGGAAAAGCACAGGCTGGCTGGGTAACTGTAGTCTGAGCCCCAATATTATCAGTCAGCCAACAAGCCTCATCTGGAAACATAACGAAGCCATCGTTGTGTGGACTAATGTATCATTTGCTTGTTCTATTAGGGCTCTTTTGACCCTGAGGACAGTGTGTCTACAGTAGACAAATTGTAAGAAATAACACACACACACACACACACACACACACACACACACACACACACAATTTCTTCCTTAAAGCAAGGGTGTCTGTTTACTGAACACAGAGGAGTCATCTAGATACTGATTACTTCAAGAAAACATTGGCTCAAAGACAAACATGCAGTTGGACTGGAACTGCATTGCATGGGCACAATGATAGCTATAACAGCTACCTTTTGTATAGTACTTAGTATGTGCCGAGCACTGTGATGAGTGCTTTATAATCATTATCTCATTTGCTCCTTGAAACAACTCTGGGAGGCAGGTGCTATTATTATCCCCATGTTACAGATGAGGAAACCAAGGCAAATAGTGGTTAAGTGACTTGTCCAAGGTCACACAGTTAATAAACAACTGCAGGAGGATTTGAACTCAGATCTTCCTGACTCTAGGGCTAGTTCTTTATCCATTATGCCACCTCGCTGCCTCATTACTGATGTTACTTTGAAATTAATAGGGGGAGGGTAGAGAAAGGAGAAGGAGAACTTCCTCCCTAACCCATTTTAATGCTAGTGTTTGTTCATGATCAGTAAAATTTAATACACACGCTGAGTAAATCCATAGTATATTATAGCAAGATGATTTTGATAGACGTTGTTTCAAGCTTAAATCACTGCTTTTCTTAGCCAAAATCCTAGAAAAATCCATCTACATCATTGCCTCCATTTCCTTCCCTTTCCCTCTTCAATCCTTTGAAATCCAACTTCTAACTTCTTCATTTAATTAAAACTGTTCTCTCCACAGTTAGCAACAATCTTTTAATTGCCAAATCAGACAGCCTCTTCTCAGTCCTCAAGCTTCCTGAGCCCTCTACAGCATCTGATACTATTACTTACCCTTGCCTCTTGGACACTGTCTCCTCCCAGGGTTTTCTCCTGGTTCTCTTATCTGTCTAATAGTTCCTTTTCTGATTACATTATCACCCATATTATGCCCCTTAACTATGGTGTATCTCAAGATTTTATCCTGGGCTACCTTATGTGGTGATTAAAAAGGTTCAAAAGACGTAAGTTCTGGGTAATTTAACAATTTTATTAATAATGCCAACATTTTAATAAAAGGATGGCCATTTAGTTGTCCCTCTTGGACCAAAGACCCTTTGGAAAGGTGTTCCCTAGGGTGAGAATCAACTCTGATGGTTAACAATTAATGAGAGAATGAATTTTGCAATGAACAAGAGGACCTGAACTTTGATTAAGTCATTTACTTCTTAAGTTAACCCCAACCTTGGACAATCTATTCAAAGAATTTATGCCCCACGCAAGCCTGAGCAGAACAGAACAGCTACCCTACCTGGGTGGGTTGTGAACAAGAAAGTTAGTCCAATCTTATTAACAGCAATGTCCTTCAAGAGACTGAACTTTTAAAATCAGGACTTTTGAAAAAGTGGGAAACTCTGGATCTCCCCAAATCTTTGCTTATTAAAAATCGCTTCTCTCACTTCTTTTCTTTCTCAATATGCTCTCATTTGGTTACTAAATAATCTCCCATTATCTCTATGTAGATGTCTCCCAGATCCCTAGCCTCAGAATCTCTCCAGATCTCTAGTCCTGCATTGTCAACTATCAGACATTTCTTTTTTAAAATTATTAGTATTAATTTATTTTTAGTTTTCAACAATCACTTCCATATGCTTTTGAGTTTTACATTTTTCTCACCCTCCTTCCCCAAGACATTGTACAATCTGATATATGCTCTACACATACATTCCTATTAAACATATTTTCACATTAGTCATGTTGTAAGGAAGAATTAGAACCAGTAGGAGGAACCACAAGAAAGAAGAAACAAAACAAAAGGGGGAAAAAAGAACAAATAGCATGCTGCAATCTGCATTCCAACTCCATAGTTCTTTCTCTAGATGCGGATAGCATTTTCCATCATGAGACTTTTGTAGATGTCTTCTTAGATCCTTGCATTGCTGAGAAAGGCTAAGTGTATCAAAGCTAGTTGTCACACAATGTGGCTGTTACTTTGTATATGGTTTTCCCTGTTCTGCTGACTTCACTCAGCATCAGTCCATACAAGTCTTTCCAGGTTTTTCGAAAGCCCACCTGCTCATCATTTCTGATACCATAATAGTATTCCATTATATTCATATACCACAACTTGTTCAGCCATTCCCCGATTGATGGGCATCCCCTCAATTTCCAATTCTTTGCCACCACTGAAAGAGCTGCTATACATATATTTGTACATGTGGGTCCTTTTCCCATTTGTATGACCTCTTTGGGATACAGCCCTAGAAATGGTTTTGCTGGGTCAAAGGGTATGCACATTTTTATAGCCCTTTGGGCATAGTTCCAAACTGCTTTCCGAAATGGTTGGACCATTTCACAACTCCACCAACAATGAATTAGTGTTCCAATTTTCCCATATCTTCTCCAGCATTTATCATCTTCCTGTTTTGTCGTGTTGGTCAATCTGATAGATGTGATGTGGTACCTCAGAGTTGTTTTGATTTGCATTTCTCTAATCAATAGTGATTTAGAGCATTTTTTCATATGAGTATAGATGGCTTTTATTTCTTCATCTGAAAACTCACTCTTCACATCCTTTGACCATTTATCAGTTGGGAATGACTTGTATTCTTATAAATTTGACTTAGTTCTCTATATGTTTTAGAAATGAGGCCCTTCTCAGAGATACTGGTTGCAAAAATTCTTTCCCAGTTTTCTGCTTTTCTCCTAATCTTGGTTACATTGGCTTTGTCTGTGCAAAAACTTTTCAATTTGATATAATCAAAATCATCTGTTTTGCATTTCATAATGTTCTCTATCTCCTGTTTGGTCATAAATTCTTCTGTTCTCCATAAATCTGACAGGTGAACTATTCCTTGCTCTCCCCATTTGCTTATAGTATCAGCCTTCATATCTAAATCATGAACCCATCTTGACTTTATTTTGGTATATGGTGTAATATTTTGGTCTATGCCTAGTTTCGGCCATACTCTTTTCCAATTTTCCCAGCAGTTTTTGTCAAAGAGTGAGCTCTTATCCCAGAAGCTGGGGTCTTTGGGTTTATCAAATGGTGGATTGCTATAGTCATTGATTATTGTGTCTTACATACCTAACCTATTCCACTGATCCACCACTCTATTTCTTAGCCAGTACCAAGTAGTTTTGATGATTGCTGCTTTATAATACAATTTAAGATCTGGTATGGCTAGGCCACCTTCCCTAGCATTTTTTTTCATTAGTTCCCTTGATATTTTGGACCTTTTGTTATTCCAAATGAACCTTGTTATTATTTTTTCTAGATCTATGAAATAATTTTTGGTACTTTGATTGGTGTGGCACTGAACAAACAAATGAGCTTAGGTAGAATTGTCATTTTTATTATATCAGCTTCGCCTACCCATGAGCAACTGATGTTTTTCCAATTATTTAGATCTGACTTTATTTGTGTGAAAAGTGTTTTGTAATTGTGTTCAAATTGGGTTTGTTTTGGGAGCTAGACTCCTAAATATTTTATGATGTCTACAGTAACTTTAAATGGAATTTCTCTTTCTATCTCTTGCTGTTGGGCTTTGCTGGTAATAATATAGAAATGGCAATGATTTATGCAGGCTTATTTTATAGCCTGCAACTTTGCTAAAGTTGTTTATTATTTCAAGTAGTTTTTTACTTGATTTCTGAGGATTCTCTAAGTATATCATCATGTCATCTGCAAAGAGTGATAGCTTTGTTTCTTTTTTGCTTATTCTAATACCTTCAATTTCTTTTTCTTCTCTTAATGGTAAGGCTAATGTTTCCAGTACCATATTGAACAACAGTGGTGATATTGGACATCCTTTTTTCACCCCTGATTTTACTGGAAATGCTTACAGCTTATCCCCATTGCATATGATGTTTGCCGAAGATTTTAGGTAGATGCTACTTATCATTTTAAGGAAGACTCCATTTATTCCTATGCTCTCTAGTGTTTTTAATAGGAATGAGTACTGTATTTTGTCAAAAGTTTTCTCCCTATTTATTGAGATGATCATGTGGTTTCTGTTAGTTTTGTTGCTGATACGATCAATTATGCTATCAGACATTTCAAACCAGATATCACAGAGAATTCTCAAACCCAGTTAAAAAATGTCACCATTATTTTCCACATCTTCATTGTCCTCATAGCTAGTGCTTATATAATACTTTAAGGCTTGCAAAGCACCTTATATATGTTAATCCATTTAATATTCACAACAACCCTACGAGATAGGCGCTACTATTATCTCCATTTTACAGATAAAATAAGAGAGGTCAAACGAATTGACCAGGGCCATACAGCTAGAAGAGTGAGATAGGTTTTGAATTCAAGCCTTCCAAACTCCAGACCCCATGCTCTATCCACTATAATCCCCTCTTCCAAAAAAAAAAATCCTAATCCTCTCTTATTTTTGCCAAAAGCATGATCATCTTTCAGATCTTCTATGTTTTCAACATTAATGTTTTCCTCAACTCTCTCCCTCTCCTTCTTCTCTCTCCTATCTTCTCTCTCTCTCTCTCTCTCTCTCTCTCTCTCTCTCTGTGTGTGTGTGTGTGTCTCCTTCCACATATACAAACAGTTCTCAGACCTTTCCAGTACTACTTCCAAAGCATCCCTCTCTCATCCAAATCCTCATTACACTCACACAGCTACCATCCTATTTCAGGCTCTCATCCCTTCCACCCTGAACTATTTAATAGTCTCCTAATTGATGTCAAGTCTCTTCTCTCTTCAATCCCTCCTCCACACAACTATCAATGTGATTTTCCTAAACCACATATCACTCTCTCACTTCAATAAATTCTATTTAGTTTCCCTGCTGCCTCAATGATCAAATATAAACTCCTCAGTTTGGCATTTAAAGCCCTTCATAATCTGGTCCTAAATTGTCTTTCAAGCCTTATACATATTACTTCCCTTTATGCACTCCCTACATTGGCTTTCTTCTTGTTCCTCACACACAGCCCTCCAGCTCCCGTCTCCATGCTTTTGCTCACCTCCATGCAGGAAATGTGCTCTCTTCTTGCAGCTACCTTACAAACCTTAGTTTTCTTCAGAAATCAGCTCAAACAAAACATTTTAAAAGAAGACTTTCCCAACGTCTTCAGCTCCTAGCACCATTCCTCTCAAAATTACTTTTTATTTATTTAGTTCACATTCACATATTTCCCTTCATATAAAAGCTGATTAATAAATACTTGTTGTTGGAATGATTGGATATGATGAAAGTTGTATGTATGACTTGTTGGCTTCAGCTGGCTCTTTGCCTTGTCAGTGGTTTCAAAGAAAGATTTCTCTCCTTCTTAGAAAGCCGTTCTTCTGTATCTGGTGAGCAACTGAAGGTGATCTCAGATTTACAAACTAGCCTCCTGAAGCTGACAGCTGGTAAGTCTGTGGGTTCTCCCAACAGAACAGGATTCTAGAACAGGGCATTTTGGGGCCGAGAGGGTTCCTCTTCTCAGGCTGAGGATGGAAATAGGGAGTCATTCACCTGTCCTTTGGTTCTTGGATTTGGGTCTTCACTGAGAGAAGAAAGATAAGGGAGAAAAATGGAGACAAAAGTGCAGAAAATGAAGTGGCTCTTGCCCTTAATGATGTTTCATTTTGATTAAGGCAGGGTTTGTCTTTTTTTAGAAAAGTCTTTTGGGCAAAGGGCAGAAAATTACATCTTTTGAAAAAGGCTTACCCAGATCAAACCAACTGTCAAATATTCTTTTTAATCTCCCAGATAATGGGAGGTACTGAAAGGCCTCCCTTTGCCTAATATATAAAAAATGGCAGTGAGTGGCGAGATCTAGCTACCCAGGGCTGCCTCTGGGGATGTTATCATGGCAGACCCACTCAGTAAGAGTTCTCAGTTCATCAGGCCATCTCCAATAATAATAATCAGTGAAAATTTATATTCCAGTTATTTTTATAATTTTGGAGGTACTTTATAAGCATTACTTAATTTGATCCTCCCAAAAATGTAGTGAGGTAGTTATCACAGGTATTTATAGAGGAAGAAACTAGGTCTCAAAGAAATTAAATAACTAACCTATGGTGCAACACCTAGTGTCAGAGTTGATATTTGAACTTAGGCCTCACTTAGATTCAAAGACCAACACTTTCTGCCATGCTATACTCCTTTATAGTCATTTAGCATAATGAAACACAGACAGAGAGACTAATAATAATTATTATTACTATAATTAATTTCAATTGTATCCACTTTGTAGGCCTATCAGTCATGCCCTATCCCCTCCCTCCCCCCATATTTAGGTATACCCCAGAGCTTTTACAGGCCCTCTTCTCTTTTCTCTTTACTCTCTTTTTTGATGACCTTTTGTTATCATGGGTTCAACTATGCAAATGATTCCCAAATCTAGATATTTTAATTGTGAGCAATAGTCCCACATTAACTCCCTGCTGAATTCCTCACATTCAACACGTCCAAAGCAGAATTTATTATTTTCCTTGCTAAGTAACTGCCATCCTCCTCATAACACAGCTTCACATCATTGGAGTCAATCCCAGCTCTCCTCTCTATTTCACTTTCATACCTAATCAGGTACCATGTCTCGGTGAGTCTTCCTCCATATTTTGCCCAATCATCCCTTTCTCTCCACTCACATAAGCACCAGTCTTGCTCAGGTTCTCATAAGCACTTTTCTTGTACTATTACTTGGTCTCCCTGCCTCTAGTCTCTCCCCTCTTCATGCTATCACCCACCCAACTGACAAATTTATGCGCCTAGAGGAAAGTTCTGACACTCTCTTACTCAGAAAGCATCAGTAAATAAAACTCCTTTTTGACATTTAAGGTCCTTCATAACTGGGCTCTACCCTCTCTTTCTAGGCAGATTTCAACATTACTTTCCACATAGTACCCTCTCATCCCATGCACTCTCCATTCCTGCTAACTTGGTGTATTTGATGTCCCTCAATCCCAGCACTGATCTCCTGTATCTATGCCTTTTCACAGGATCTACCCCCTCACTCTACCCAGCCCCAAATGCTCTCCCTTTTCTCTTCTGCCTTTTGGAGACTAACTACCTTCAAAGCTCAACTCCCCCAAAATACAATTACATTGTATTTATCATGTATATTTTATATCTGTGTCTAGGATATTTCTCCCTTTCTTCCAGCCAAGTAGAATGTAGCTCCTAGAGAACAGGAATAATTTCATTTTCATCTTTGTATTCCCAGGGCATTAGAATAGCCTAGAACATGAATGGCTTAATACTTGTTACTTATTAAACTGAACAAATATTTATTAATCTCCTGGCACCATACTTGGTGCTCAAAGATAAAAGCAAATATGAAATGCCTCTGCCTTCAAGGAGCTTACACTCTAATGGAAGGAGGTGGCAATGGAAGGATGTGTGCAGAGATAAGCATATACAAGGTGTCCCCAAAGTAATTTCAATGAGGAGAAACTATTAATAACTGGGTAAATTAAGAAAAGGCTTATTGAGGAGGTAGCACCTGAATGTGTTTTGAAGGGAGCTAGAGATTCTAATAGGAAAAAGTGCTATGGAGGCACAGTTCAGACAGGAATGTGGGGCCACCATCTGTGCAAAGGAATGACACCTGTGAAGAACAGTTAGTGGGCCAGTTTGGACTGGAGGAGAATAATAAGAAATAAGACTATAATGGAAGCAATAGTCATAACAAAAACAATAGCCACAATGATGAGGTCAATAACAATAACTTTAAAGTTTTCTAAGCTCTTTATATGTTTCATTTGAGCCTCACATCCATCCTCTGGCTTAATAGTTAGCACATATAGTGTTTTGAGGTTTGTAAAGCACTTTACAAGTATTATCTCAATTTGTCCTCATAACAATCCTAGGAGGCAGGGACTATTTTTATCTACATTTTATAGATAAAGAAACTGAGGCAGACAGCAAGTAAGTGATTTGCCCAGTAAGTGGCTGAGGTTGGATTCAAACTCAAGTTTTTGGAACTCTAGCTACTTAAAGCAATCCTAGCTGCCATGTCGCTGCCCATTGTTACCTACATTTTACTTAAATTTAAGGAGGCCCAGAGAACTTAAGTAATGTCCAAGATTATGCAATTCATAGTAGTCACATAGCTAATAAATGTCAGAGGTAGTATTTGAATGCAGGTTTTCCTAGCAGATTCTTTTAAATGCCAAGCAGAGGATTTCATTTATCTATGTGGAGTGGGACACACAGAGACAGAAACAGAAAGAGTTAGTGAGGAAATAAAGTGGTAGAGATAGGGCGAGAAAAACAGGGTAAGAAACAGACCTCCATAAAGAGAAATATTCAGACATGCTCATACAAACAGAGAAATAAACACAGAAAAAGTAGGACAAAGGGAGCACTGCCTTCAATCTGTTGCCTCTAATCTCCAGCTCTCAAGTTATACGGAATTGCAGTTCAAGTGGGAAAAAAGTTTTTTGCCACCAGTGGCATGGCTTCTGATTTCCTCACAGTTAATAAGACTTGCCATGAAATAGGAGGCACTATTGCTACTCCAAGGAATGAAGAGGAGAATGCTGCCATTCTGAAAATTGTGGTGAAGCATGACACATATGCCTTTCTTGGCCTGAAAGAGGGAAGAACACCAGGGGAGTTCCATTACCTGGATGGATCCCCCGTGAACTACACCAACTGGTATTCAGGCACTCCAGATGGGCAAGGAAGTGAAAATTGTGTGGAAATGTATACAGATGGTACTTGGAATGATAGATACTGCTCCAAGAGCCGCCTTGCTGTCTGTGAGTTCTGGCCAGAGCTGGACCACTGGACAAAAGAATGAAGGACTTACTGGTGAACCTGGGTGAATCATTTATTTCCAATCTTGGTGGCCAAAAGGGAATTAAATCTTCTGCCTCTCAGGTAGGAGTCTATGATAAAGAAGTGTTAATTGAATCCTATTTGTAGCCCATAAAACAACATGAAAATCAATTCTGTTTCCACTGCCAGGAATGCCCATCTCTCTATACCCCTTTTCTCTCTCTAATCAAATCTTAACCCATCCTCCAAGGCCTAGGTAAAGTTCTGTCTTTTTCCCATGTGGCCACACATGACTCTGTCATTCTACAGTAATCTCCTCTTTGGAGCCTATATAATTTTGTACCACCCAAATTAATATTTACCAACTACTGCTTACTCAAGTTACTTAATGTTTCAAGTGGGTATACCCACCTCCCCAACTTGAGTTTAAACTTCTGAAGGAATAGGAATTTGTCTTCTCTTTCCTTAGATTCCATGATACCTAGCAGAGGGCTGGGCAAACATAAGGTACTCAGTAAAGGCTTATTGAATAATTGAATCAAAACAAATTAATTTTTATTGGTTTGAATTCCTGTCTGGTTTGCTCTAGGAAGTGAGCCCAGGGGCAGTAGACCATTATTCCTGAACACTATCACAAAATCCCTCTGAGGGAAGGCTGAAGGTCACCAACTTGAGTGTACAATGCCCCATGCTTTCACTGAATCAACAATTACCAAGCACATAGGTGTCAAGTATCTGCCACCCCCTCTGTAGCCCAGATCCATTCTCAATGTCTGCTCCTTCTACTTTTTTTCCTTAAATGAAGTCTCTACTCAGGATGTGAGTTGCCTTTCCACACAGATTAACGTGCCAGAGAAGATGCAGACTTGTCTCATCTCTCTGACACTGATACCTGTAATTAGCATAGATTCCTTCCTTAAGTTTATGGGAAATTTACAGGGGAAAAGATGAATGGATGAATGGTAAAGGTTGTTAAAAACAATAAACCAAAGAAGTTACTAACTTACAAATGTCCCAACAGCTGAGCTGGAACTTGTGTGGGGCCACTAGAGCACAGTACCAGGGCAAGATATTTCTAGAGTGTTTTTTCCCAGGCTCACTTCCCTACCCACTAGCCCCTGCCATCTCCAGTCCTGCCCCTAAGGTCTTCTTTTTCAGTGGTATGTATGATTCCTCCCCTTGAGTCAAGAAACTTAGAGAGTTTACCAATTTTTCAGCTTTCTCCTCTCCTTGCTTCTATGAATTTCCTCCCCAGACCACCCTGTTTCCTAGTCAACCTTGTCCTAGGGCTTGCTTCCTCTCTTCTGCTCCATCATCCCATCTCTCCTGTCTCCTTCTCCTTTGCTCCTACTAATTGCCAGCCCTTCAGGACTACTGAAACCTGAATCATCCCTCCCACCACCTGCTGTTTGTCCGGGGTGCAAAGATTGCCAATTCCAACCCTGGAAAGAGCAAATACTTGCAGCTGAATTTATTTGTCCAAATCACTGAAAGAGATAAATAAAATGCAACTTTATTCAGAGCAAAATTTGAGAGATTCTATGGAACTTAAAATAACATTCTCAAGAAATAAAAACTTGCTTTATAAAAACTACCCATTCAAAGTTGGGCCCCAGCTACTCCTGTAATTTAGTTCTTCATAAGATTTTTTTAAAGACGTAAATCTACCAAGTTACTTCTCTGCTTTTAAAGTTATTAGCCAATAGTAAATAGGAGGGGAAGGGATGACAACTGTGGGCTTGCTACTTTACTGCTTTATGTACATTTTAGGAAAAGTAAGTATCTACAGCTTGATGCTTAGCACCAGCCTTGAACCTTCAAATTTTGTCAGGAGTTTAAAATATAATCACTCAAACATCTTTCTCTCCCTCCTCACAAGTCCAAGTCAGATAAAAGCATTACTCTGCCTCCTTAAACTGGACAATATAGACAATGGCTTTAGAAATGGTGAGTCCTTTTGAGGTTGAAGTCAGAATGTGGCTTGGGTGACCTATACTGAGATTATTTACAGATTACTTTTGGTGGCATTATCAGGTGGGTGTTCACCATGAAATCCACCATAGACCAACCCATCATCATCCTGTCAAGCCAAGGGATCTTTGAAAGGGGCTTACATAGAAGAACTGTGGTTCTGAGCCTCGCATAACTGCTCACACTGACATGAGTGACCTGAATTTCACAGATATGCTGTGTATACACAGTCCACGGGCCTGGTTTAGAATCAATGAACACGTTGCATAGAAGAACCAAATAGAGAAACCAGATGGTAGCATAAACCCTTCTTTGTAATGTTATGCAAGCTAGTTTCTTTAAATTCAATTCAACTTAACAAACATTTCTATATATCATATTTTCTTTCTCCTATCTGTGACTTTAAATCCAAACAATTACAAGTAGGTGTTATAATTTTACTTTGAAAAATAAATTGTCATGCTACTATCAATTGATGCACCTTGGTCCTTCAGGTATTCTTAAATCCTGGTCCTTCTAGTCTTAAGAGCTTACTTTGTACCAGGTACTGTGCTGGGTACTAGAGAAATAAAGGAATAAAAATCTCCACCTTCAAGGGGCTTATGTTCTTCTGGAGGTGATGGGCACAGCGTATAATAGGTAAGTAAATACATACAAAAAAAGAGAAGCAATTGGGGAAAAGGGTAACAATTGGGAAAACTAAGAAAGGTGTTTTCCAAGAGAGCACTTGATTAGATTGAAGTGAGCTGGAAGTCACAAAAGGAAGCAATGAAGAGACACTGAATTCCATTCATGGGGTACACATGGTGCAAAAGCAAGAGACAAGACATGGGCTGTCCAACTAGGAAAACCAACATCACCAAATAGGTGACTAATTCTTCAATAGGAGGCAAATGCAGTTCTTCCACTGTCTGTGGCTATCATGTAACTATGCTGGGGCTGGGGAGAAGGCTTACCTAAGGATACACAGATCATCTGTGGCAGACCCTAGGTGTCCTGAGTCTAGGTTGACCACGCCATATTGATCCACTTCTCACCCTATTGGTAGCAAGGAACAGAGGCTTACATATACATATAGTAGGCCTCCTGCATCATTTTTTAGGGGGGATCCTAAAGACTTTTTAACTCTACTGAAAAATTAATGTGTGATTTGGGGCAGGTTGCTTAATTTTTCTAAGGCTCAATTTCCTCATCTATTGAATGAGGTTGATAATGCTTTTGCAATGAATCTGCTGTGATGAAAGTAAACCCCAGATTGATTTATATGTAAATATAATGCAACATATTTATAACATAGAAATTATAATTTATCTGTAAATATAACAAAATTTAATGCATATGCACATATACACATATAAACACATACCTATATGCATATATATGGAGTGGAGACTATTATGGGGCAGTTAGGTGGCACAGTGGATGGAGTGCCAAGACTGGAGTTAGGAAGATAAATCTTCCTGAGTTCAAATCTGGCCTTAGACACTTAGATACTGGTTGCATGACCCTGGGAAAGTCACTTAACCTATTTGACTCAGTTTCCTCATCTGTAAAATGAGCTAGAGAAAGAAATGTTTGGTAGCTGTAGTATGTTTGCCAAGAAGACCCGAAATGGGGTCAGATTATTATTACTAAAGGTCTGAGGTTTCAACTTTTCTATACCAGTTTGATGCTATTAAGCACCATGAATTGATTCTCAACATGGGAGGGTCTTTATTAAATAGATTTTAATAAGACTCTAATAACTTCCCCAGACTCAGTGTCCATGTTGAGGCACATGATTCTTCTGCACCACTTAAAGGCATTCTGGGGAAAAGGGTATAGAGTAATAAGGTGGTCAATATATGAGCTTATACACGCAGAGCCTTATAGACCTAAAAGGTACCTAAAAAGTAGTAAAAAGTAGTAGTAGTAGTAGTAGTAGTCGTAGTAGTCGTAGTCGTAGTCGTAGTCGTAGTAGCAGTAGTAGTAGTAGTAGTAGTAAAACCCAACCAAATCCCAGACCATATTTTCATTTTACAATTGAACTGCAAACTTCTGAGAACCCAGAGATGCATCGAAAGAGCAGTACTGGCTGCTCAAAGGACCTGAAAGACACAAAACACTTTTGACACAAGAGACTGGGCAGCACTAGTTTCCATGTGCCAGCTTTGAATGACCACTGCTACACTTGAAATTCTGGCAGTGGTCATTCAAAGAGCCAATTAACAAATGGCAATCACATCCCAGAGCTGGTCTTACCCCTAAGCAAAGCAACAACAGCAACAATAGTAACAATAATAATAACAATGGAGCAGCTAACATTTATATAGTGCTTACTATGTGCAAAAGCTGGTACTAAGTACTTTAGAATTATTATTTCATTTGACCCTCACAAAACCCTGAGAGATAAGTGATGTTTTTATCCCCATTTTACACATGAGTAAACAGACCGACAGACATTAAGTCACTTGCACCAGGTCTCACAGCTAGTTAGTGTCTGAGAAAGGATTTTAACTCAGGTCTTCCTGAATCCATGCCTGGTGCTCTATCCATGTATGAATATAGAAAAACCAGTCATTTGCAAAGCATAGACTAAGATAGACTCCATTGCTCAAAATGTGTTCCCTACTGAGAGCTAAAATTTTAGGATAAGGCCATTTGCTCAAAATATGTCCCTCACTAAGAGCTAAAATTTTACCAGTAGCTATTCGTTCCTTTGGATTAAACAAGGCCTTCTCCAGGCTACTCTTCACTGGGGTAAAGTAGCAAGTAAAGTTTTCATTCTTCTTTGTGAAATAATGTATCAGTTCCCCTTCCTCCCTTGTAGATGAATTGAGGCAGTTAAAACCATTGGTTGCCTGAGAGTGAGGGAACAATGAAAACAAGCTGTGTGGACATCATTTGATTATGTATAAAATGAGGAGGCCAGACTAGATGATCTCTAATGGAGCTTCTAGCTCCAAGTTCTAAGATGCCGAACTATTTAGTGCAGAAAACAGTAGTGGTGGGAATTATGAAAAGATGGTGTTGTGTTAGGTCCTAGAAGAACCCAGATCACCCACAAAACACCAGTAAAATTCTAAGAATGTTTTACCCCTCAAAGAGTGAAGTGAGGAAGGGGAATTAAAAGGAAAAAAAAAGAACCAGAAAGAATAATAATAAAGAAAATCAAAGAGAAATAATGATAAGTTCTGCCATCCCCAGTACTGCTTAAAAAGGCTGCCAGAATCAGAAAGTAATGGCTCTGTGATGCAACAAGAAATACTGAAACAAAATAAAAGACTTGAAAAAGAGAAGAAAATGTAAGGAATATGATATTTTAAAAACAGGTCAAGGAGAGATAATCTAAGAACTATCAGATTATTGACTGATATTCTACCTATACATCATAACAAAAAATAAGCTTTATATTCCAAGAAATTATAAGTGAAAGAAGCCCAGATTTATTAAAATCAGAGGGCAAAGTGAAAATAGAAATGCTCTACCATTCACCTCCTGAAAGAAAACCCAAAATGAGAACTCCTAGTAATGTTATTGCCAAAATCTAAAACTTCTAGATCAAATTTTAAAAATAAAGCCATACTTCCAGTAGCCAAAGCAAGAGTTAACATACAAAAAAGCCACTGTCATACATCACACAAGAGTTGGAAGCTACAACCACAAAAAGAAGAGTCTTGAATGTGATATTCCAAAAGGCAAAAGATAAAGACTTACAAGAATAACCTTTCTGGCAAAACTGATTATATAGCTATAAAGGAGAAAAGATATTTAAATAGAGGACTTATAAGTATTTCTAGGGAAAAGGCCAAAACTAACCAAAAACTGAAATGAAAATGAAGGAGTAAAAGAAAAAAACAGAACACAAATTACATAGAAAGATAAGTGCATTTGATCAATCAGAAGGGAAGGACTCATGATAATGAACTGTTTATATCCTAAGGGGGAAAAAAGGAGGAATGTCAATGTCTTCAAGGGTCATAAAGTTAAATAAAACAGTCAGATGGTCTGGGAATGATTTTGTTCTATTTTAATAGTCTTAGAAGTAGGAAATGGGGAAAAGGGAGGATAAACAAACAAATAAATAAATAAATAAATAGGCAAATAAATAAATAAATGAATAAATAAAGCAAAAATGGAGGAAAAAAGAGGAGGAAAGGGCACTACCTCATTTAACAAGGGCACATGAGATGAAGACTCAACAAATGTAGAAGAACTGTGGGGAACTGTCATCCCATGAACTTCACTTCTGACCCAGACACAGGAAAATGTAACACACTCATACAACCATGATTACAATCACACAAAGCATGGTAAAGATATACATTAAAATCAATTGGGAAATAGGAGGGGTAAGGGAGAAGAAAGGGGATAGTAAAGAGGGAGGATAGAATAGGTAAGGGAGTAGTCATGAGAAAAAGCAAAACAGATTCCAGAATCCCTGAGTGGAACATGAAGGGGTGGATTAGAAGTAAATAAAGAGCAAAAACCTGTGATCAGGGATAGAGAAAAAGGAAGAGGGGAAATTGAGTCCAAATAGATTGCTTCAGTTATATAGCATTATTGTTAAGCAAAGTACTCTTTCATAAATCTCTTCTTTGTAAAGAAGTGGCAAGGGGAATGGAGAAAAATACAATAAGATGGGCTGGAGAGAAATAGACAATTAACAATTATAACCATGAGTGTTAATGGTATGAACCCACCCATTAAATGGAAGAGGATAGCAGAATGGATTAGAAAATAGAATTCAACAATTGTGTGTGTGTGTGTGTGTGTGTGGTTTGTCCTTCATTCTCGAGGAGGGTCATGACATCAGGGAGGTGATGACATGACTTGCAATTGACTTTGATTTGAATGAGGAAGGGCTGTGCAAGGTCACCAGCCTCACTTTCTTCTCCACAACCATCTGGGCCCAGTGGCCAGATACCAATATCTGATCAATCAGGACGACTGAAGATGGCACAGAATGCAGTGGGAGACATTGGCCTTTTAAGCTAAGGCTTTTTCAAGTGCTCACTTTGAGTGAGGCAACACCCATTAAAGCCTCTTTAAGAAATGAATCAAGGGATGGCCCTTTTAATAAAAAAAAAATCAAACTGGGAGGGGAAGACCCTCAGGGCCAAAACAGAAACTAGTTACATTCACTCTGAGCCAGGAGGACCCAAAAATAACCATTAAGTGGTGTTTGGGCAGACACCTATTGTTGTACAATATCTGAGATCCAGAGTGAGTGTATATGAATGTAATGGAATACTGTTGTTCTATAAGAAATGATGAGCAGCCACACTTCAGAAAAACCTGGAAAGACTTGTATGGACTAATGCTGAGTGAAATTGATGCTGAGCAGAACCAGAAGAACATTGTACACAGCAACAGCCACATTGTGCAATGACTAACTTTGATAGACTTAGCTCTTCTCAGCAATGCAAGGATCTAAGACAATTCCAAAAGACTTACCATGGAAAATGCTATTCACATCCAAAGAAAGAACTATGGA